ATGTATGCATGTATGCATGTATACGTACGTATGTGTCTGTCTGTCTGTGTTTGTGTGTGTGTGTGTATGTGTATAGACACACAGGAGAAAATAAGCATGGAGTTTGTCTGCTGAGCTGTGACTCAGGAGGACCCTTGCTGATGTTCCTACACAGTACGATTCTGACGACCCTCGGCAGGAATAGATGCGGTGTCGCCGCGCGCGCCTTCCTGTAAGGGTCTGTTAGTCAAAGCTGTTTCCGCTCGGAAAGCAAGGACCTGGTGGTTGAAGTCGACCCCCCAGCGTCTCAGATGCCTCCAACCAGTTGAGACAAACGTCCGTTGCGGTCTTGTGGCAAAGAAAGATGAAGCAGCTGATGAAGCACTACTATGAAGTATGAAGGATCTTATATCCAATATTGATCTTGTTCTCATTCTTGCGCTTGCTTCGATTGACAGCCGGATGCCAGGTTCTGGCAACTCACCCACCGCGAAAAGAATTCCTCGCAACAGATTGGACGCAATCTCAGAGATTGGACTTCGGCACCCGGAGATGGCGATTTTCACCATTTCGAAGAGGCGGTTCAAGGGTTTAGGGGTTTAGGTTTAGTGTTTAGGGGTTTAGGGTTTAGAGTTGAGGGGTTCAGATCAGATTTCCTTTTCCCATGATGTCTTCCCCGCATTTCTCTGAGGTCTCCAGGTACCCGGCCAGTGCGCATCAGATGTGTGGAGCCTGACTTGGGGCCCAGCTACTCTTCGACGAACACCTCCGCATGGCTCTTGGGCAACATGCAGTGGCTTGGCTTGGAGACAGTGGCAGTGAGTCTAGACTTTTCAGTGCCAAGGGCCAAGGGCAAGTTCAACGATGTTACGTATCAAGCACGCTCATTGTAGGTAGGATCTGTTGACATTTGTATGCGAAGTCGCTTCAATGAGCGGAATGTGATGGCAGCTTCTAGTCGCACACCTCTTAGCAGCTGTATCCGAGTGAATGAGTCGAAGCATACTCTGGTTCTGAATTTGTTTAGCTTGCGTCTGAAGCCAGTCTGGCCGTCACCGCCTCCTTGGCATTTACAGCGAATAACGTGTTGGACTCTTCGGGACTGTTTCTTGCCAGCTACTTGTGCCGTCTATGCCATTCGCCCTTCGTAACTATTCGCTGCAACCTGAACGATCCCTGCATCCAAGGCCAGGTCATTGGGTGAAGCTTCGGGACGTGCGCTCGGCTTGTGCTACTTCGCATCCTTTGAGCATCTCGACGCTCCCCTCGCGAAGTGGAGTCGCCAGGTCAGAACCCAGCCGCATCCCTACGCAGCTGCGGCGGCACTTTAAAAGGGTGACCACATTTGCACTTGCTGTTCTTTGACGGTTCTGCACTGGTTTCTGCTCCGTCTTGCGGTATGCTGCATCGATTTCGGATCTTAAAGCTCTGAAGCCCTACATCGTAAACCTTCAAGCCCTAAACCCCAGAATTCCTACGTAAGTGCTCAGCCCTGAGCCCCAGAATAACAATCATCCTCAACCCCTAAAACATCTAAAACCTCTGAACCCCAAACCCTTCAATCTAAACCGCCCTCAACCCTGTAAAGCCTTGTAAGCGCCCTAAGTAGAAAAGCCAAGCCAAGCCTCATGTAGTCTCGGGCAATTGGGTTGGAGTCCAAGCCAATACGTTTAGGGTTGGGGGTAAGGAGACTTGCGAATATAATGGGCGGGAACACTTGAGGGGGGTTCCGGTATTAAGCATGATCCCAAAACGTGGGGCGTGCGATCCCTTTTCTGACGATCCTTCTATCTTCTGTCTTTGTTGGAGCCCCTTTATTGTCTGAAACTGCCGTGCAGGCATGGACTTATGTTGATCCTGGAGGCGAGGTCCTGAAGAAGGATCCTTCCGTTCCTCTTGTGCTGATCTTCTTCTAGCCTTCTGGGCCGCTTTGAAGCTCGGTAAGGTGTGCAACCTGATCTTTATGTTCAGGCATCCATGGCGCGAGCCTTGTCCAACGGGCTGATAATCTTAATGCGGTGATCTTCCATGTCATGATACGCAACACTCATCACTCGAGTCATCGTGAACGGTGCAGAAACTTGTTATAACAATCATGTATATCCAGAAGCGTGATTCTCTTTCAGGGAGAAGTGGATACTCATTTGGATTCATTTGGCATCAGCCTCAACATCCACGAGACTGAGATTCGTAGCATGCGATTGGCTGAACCCTATCTATAAGCATAATCTAGAGTTTTACGTGGGTGGCATGTAGAGAGCAGTTCAGTGGCAAGTCGGCGCGTGGGAGGCTCGGGAAGCGAGTGAGGAGATGGGTATATCTATGGTCGCTGTCTCTCTACCCATGACTCAGCCCGTAAGGATTTTGGTAAGTTCAATAGAGCAGACTAACCAAGTCAGATGCAAATTACAGGCAAACAGCGACTTCGAAGCCCTAAACCCTAAACGCACCTTTCCAGTAGCACGAGTTGTACACCTCCGAGGTCACGCGAGTGCCGCAGTGGTGGCCACCTCAGTTCGAGAGCCTAAAGAGCGGCTTGGAGTGGCTTGGGGCTCGCGAGTGCTGATCTTACGTTGCGATGTCTAGCTGGGGTTGAGTGTTAATGGATGGGTTTGGGGTTTCGGGGTTTAGGGTTCATAATGGATGAGTAGTGATAAGTGCCGTTATCATCGGAGGTATTGGTATCAATACTCCGGTTGTGAGTATGATGGGTCTGGCTGACGGTATGATTGTAATTGCTGCAAGCCAGCAGGTGCCTCGATGCCGTTCAGCGAGCTAATGATCGAACAGATGACAGAGCCGGAATCCCAGGAGAGAGGCCCCCAAAATAATACAATATAACATAATATAATATAATGTAAGGTAAGATAAGATAACATAATATAATATAGCTAAGAGATGGTCTCAAGGAGGTGTGTACTGACTGCGCGTTTGTTCTCGTCGTGCTGATAGCACACCGTATCTTGTTCTCGAGCACTATTCAACTTGGATGTGTCCTAGCTCTAGCCCCAGCAGTGTTTAAGCATGCGGGTGAAGCGCATCAACTCAGTACGCAAAATGAGGAGTGCACTCGGCATGCAGAGCTTCCGGACTTCCGTGAGATATTCTCACGAGCAATCTTCCGGGACTCCATACTCCAGACTTCGCCGACCCATTTGGCCATTGGCGATGTGATGCCCTGCTGAGTCCAATGATTTCGAGACGGACATTGGGGCATTCCGGTCGCTGCCTCCTCCCGACAACAACAGGCCGCAGTGGCAATTTTGGCCGATTCACAGACCAAGTCGAAAGATCAAACACAAGCAGACTCTGATTTTATGTTTTTGTTCATCTTCGTGTTTGGATGTGTGTTTGCGCGCGCTGTTTGATTTCCATGTGTGTGTTTTTGTGTGTCTTTTTCCGTTTGCCTCGTGCTCCCTGCTTCTGCGGGCCAGGCGAGCTTCTTTACCCGCCCTGCCTGCTCCTCCAGCTGACGACAGGCATGTGCCGCACGGTTACACCGGACATGTCAGCTGAGTCTGGTTCTAATCAAGCCAGCTCTAAAACCCTGAAAATGCCCACACACCGAAGGGGCCCTGAACTTATCCAGGCTCTGAAAGTGAGTCCAGGGTAGCGACTTGTCAGGCGGCGCTAGGTGCTGAGTAAAAGCCTACCTTCTTGAGACCTTGTGGAAGAAGGGCCTCAGAAAGCTTAACCATCTTAGCTGTCGAGTCGGCGGCCTTTAGCCCCTTTTGGGGTATTACAATCCCTGCACCCCCAAACGTTCACCTGGGTAGTTCTCTGATTTAGGGGTCCCTTTTTGGATCCCCAATATAGTACGGCACCTTTATAAAAAGGACCCTAAAAGGGACCCTAATTTAGACAACTACCCACCTGTAGTTCTAGGATTTTTGGACAAGTGGGGTACCCCTGAGCGCTGAGCAGGCCTGCTGCTGCCGCTGAAGACGGCGAGGCCCTAGATGAAATTTTGCATTTTCCCGCCTGCACTTTTGCAGCCCGGGGAGTGAGGGGTATTGAAAGTGCAGGTCGTCGCAGGAGGACGTGCGGTACTCCGTCTGCC